TGAAGGTGATAAACCATTTGGAGAGGGAGGAATCAATAACATATTGAAAACGTGTATCAGGACCTGCAGTGTCTCCCAGACAGTATTTCACAACTGGCCAAATGTAATTTACAGCATTATGAGGACTGAGGAAACTCTTCTGTGATTTTTCATGAGCTAACTCGTTCTTTATCGAGCATTTCTGTAAGAAAACCCTGGCATGCCTGGCAAAAATGAGCCCAGATCCATACCTTTCAAAACTACCCTGTTGGTCCTTCCTGGAACACTCAGCCCAGTGTGCTCATGGTCTTGTTGCAGAAGGGAGATAAAGCCATCATTTGTCTTTAGCACTACATAAAACTGGGCCAGAGCAGCTCTGACAACATAAGTGACTGAAATTTCCACCTGCCCCCCCTCAACATTTAAGATGAATTGGAGAAAAGGCATTCCTGCTTTTAGAAAGGCAAAATAATACAAAAGCCTAATGTATAAACCTGGTCTTTCATGCCAACCTACAACATCGAGGATGCAATATGGTTTTTTACATGCACTTCCCTTTGGCATATTTCAGTTTTCAAACCTGCCTACCCTTAAGCACAAGCCATACAGCAACTGAAAATCTGAATATTTAAAGTACCCTATATTGGAGGTGTAAAAGTGGACCTGGATAGTACAAATTTCCATTTCCTAATTAAAAAAAATAAAATAATTCATACTATCTCCAGAGTCAGCTGAAAAGAGAAAATTGTGTCACCAATACAAACAGTGTCACAGAACTCGAGTTAAAAAAGTGTGCTTTCATTCAACCAAAATCAGTGAAATGTTCTTAATTCTGACTAAAAAAATTATTGTTTTGGAATATTTTGTTTTATTTACAGTGTCCACATCTTTCATTTAAATCTTTCTCCGTGCTGTATGAGAAGCTGAGCTTTTTCTTTCACTGATTTGAACAAAAATTGAACAGGAAATACCAAGAAATATTTAATATTCTTGATATAAATTAAAAAAATGGAAATGTTCTCACATTTTGCTGAACTTCATATGGTTGGTGATCGTCCAGTTCTCTGTTTTGTTGAGCTGTCTCTGCAGGGCCTCCCTGCCTTCCAGGGACTCAACAGCTCCTCCCAGTTTGGGGTCATCTGCAAACTTGCTCAGTGTCCCTTCCAGTCCTGTGTCCAAGTCATTGATGGAGATGTTGGAGAGCACAGGGCCCAGATGGAGCCCTGTGGAATCCCAGCAGTGACAGGTCACAGCCTGATGTCACCCCAGTCACTGTCACCCTCTGTGCCCAACCCGAGAGCCAACTGCTCACCCAGCACAGGATGTGTTTATCCAGCTGTGGGATGGACAGTTTGTCCAGAAGGATCCTGGAAGAGACAGGATTGAAAGCTTCACTGAAACCCAGAAAGATCACATCAACTGGCTTCCCTTGATCAGCCAGGTGGGTCACCCTGTCACAGAAGGAAATCAGGTTCAACAAGCAGGACTTTCCTCTCCTGAAGCTGGCTGTGACCAGTGACAGTGTTGTCTTTCAGGTGTTTTTCAATACCTCCCAGAATAATCTCCATAAGTTTACCAGGCACTGAAGTTTACCAGGTCTGGAGTTTCCAGGGTCCTGCTAGAAGCAGGACAACATTCTTCACCTTCCAGTCACCTTGGACCTCTCTGGATTCCCAAGAGAGCTCAAAAATCATCGAGAGAGGTTTTGCAATTACATCAGCAGCTCTTTGAGGATTCTCAGATGAATCCCATCAGGGCCCAGAGATTTGTAGGGATCCAGCTGGAGCAGCAGATCCTGCACAATTTCAAAGTCAGCTGGGAGTTGCTCATTCTCACAGTCATGGTCCTGCAGCTCAGGGCACTGAGACCCTCTTGGTCTGTCACCCCTGTTGAAGACAGAGGCAAAGAAAGCTTTAAACACCTCTGCCTTGTCCATGTCCCTATTTGGGAAGTGACCAGCCCCATCCTGGAACAGGCCAGTGATATTTCTGTTCTGCCCTTAACACATTTGAAAAATCTCTTCCTATTGTCCCACACATTTCTGGCAGCTTCATCTGCAATTGAGCTTTAGCCACATGAATTTTCTCCCTGCAGGGACAAGCAGCATCTCTGAATTCTTCCCATATCACCTGGTCTTGCTTCCACTGGGCACACACTTTCCTTTTTTGCCTTATTTCCAAGAGAAAATCCCTGCTCAGCCAAGCCATCTTCTGCCTCGCCTGCTTGACTTCCAACTTTTGGGAATTGCTGCTCCTGTGCCCTTAGGAGGTGAGGTTTGAGAAGTGACCAACACAGGTGGTCCCCAGCACCTGCAAAAAACATTTTCACAGGGGACCTTATTCCCTCGTTCCTTCCCTGAGCAGCCTCAAGTCTGCTCTCCTCATGGCCAGAGCTGAGGTTTTCCTGGCACTTTTCTTCCTCTCAACAGAGATTTTAAGCTCGATCCCTTTGTGGTCCCTGTGGCCAAGACGGCCCCAATCTCCACTCCACTCACAAGACCCTCTCTGCTCACAAGCAGCAGATCAAGGAGAGCATCTTTCCCAGTCAGCTCCCTTAGGATCTGCTCCATAAAGTTGTCATCCAGGTTTTTCAGCAATCTTCTGGCCCAGGTTATTCCAGCTGTGTGATGCTCCCAGTTAATTTCTGGCAAGTTGAAGCCCCCCATGAGGACAAGGACAATTGACTTGGAAGTGTTCCTCAGTTCCTCAAAGAATAATTCATCAGTGTCATCATCCTGGCTGGGAGGTCCAGAGTAGACTCCCACAATGACACGTGTCCCAGAGATTCCCAACTGTGCCATGGCCAACTGTGAGCTCCAGACATTCCAACCCCTCTATTACACCCGCACTTCTGAAATACACTGTTCTTTCCAGGGGCAAGAAAACTAAGAGAGCAGACACCTGTGTCTATCCTGCAGGTAACTGATGAGATTAAACACATCATAAATCCAGCAGCCACACTGCATCTGAGGGAACATTAACATCTCTCTCCTGATGCTATTTACAGCAGTTTGCTAAGGCTCACCACACATATTAACATTGGCTACTTAGCAGGGAGAGGCTGCCCAGTAAATGGCCAGAGAATTGTGGTTCTCATGGCACTGGGCTTTGCAAAGCATCAGCTCAGGCTACTCATGGAAATAATTTCTATTTGCCCTATCAGCACTCTCCTTGTTTTGATCTGGCAATATTTTGGAGAGAACTTGTACTGAATAGGTAATTTCAAAGAGCTGGCAATAGAAGAGATGAGAGTCCTGTCCTCTCCAAAAGGACAGAAAAGAGAATGTACGAGGGGCTTTCTCCTGGAAACGTGGAGGTCACAACACAACAAGCAAACAAAACCACACACAAAATCAAGAAGCTTGCCATTAAGCCATTTCCATTACAACATTAGCACTCATTTTTAGATCTAAAATTAGACTTTAATCTGAGAAATTTCATGTGACATGCATAATCTTGAATATTTTAGAGGTAACATGATTAACAAATAGCCAATAGGTTGTACAACAGAACATTATTTCATTTTTTACATGCTGCAGTACTTGTAAGAATCATAAGATTACTAAGAGTTAAACAGAAGGAGAGAGTTTGCCACATAAAAACATCTAGTCTCATGCAGACCTTCTTATAGTGAACTCATAGATACAAGAAATGTATGTCCATAATTTTTGTACTCTATAAATTCATCCACTGGCTGACGAACCTCAGTTCTTTTCTGGTTTGGTAACAGCTGAGAAATAATCCATTGGTTTAGGTAGGCAGAAAACTGTAGCAGGAGTATTATGAATAATCCCACTGACTCCTAATTATGTCCTACTGTCATTGTCTTTACAATTTTTCACCCAAAAGATTAGGAAGTAATCAAATTGAGGAAAAACTGCAGTGGGATTAATGGTGTCTGCAGTGCTCAGCACGATTATGTTTGTATCATCTTTAAAATGAGAATGAAAACTGTTTCATCACCAGCTGTGGGTAATTCACATTCCCAATTCACTGAAATCAAGTCTTTTTTTCAGAAAGAAAGAAGAATTCTTCCAATGCATTTAATTTGAATCAAACAGCATAGCAGAGCTCTTAAGACCCCCACTCATAACCACTGTGATGTGGTGGCACAAACCTAGCAAGGTGTATAACATTAAAACTAATCTGTCCAAAGGCTCTATATCCCAAAGCCAAGTAGAATAATCAGTTTGAGAAGTGGGACTTGATTTTATTAAAGAGCATCGGTTGTAATACCCGAATGACTGGACTCATCTAAACTGAAAACTCATCACTGAAAGGAAAAGTTGCTTCATTGAGTCATTTCTCACAAGAAAAACAGTCTCAAATTATTCTCATTTCATCTGCAGAAATAAAACCTCACAGATTTGTAAGAAATTCTGGCTTTTTGTTAGAGCAGATTCCTCTCTCCAAAGTGAAAACAAGTCTCACAGACTCACACATATTTCTCCAAACCTACATGTGGCTTGTTTCCTGCAGAGCCATGACCACAGCACCTTACCTGCTTCACTCCCCCACCTTTTGGGCTGCCTGTTTAGATGGGAAGGTCTTGGAGCAGCAGTACATTTCCACACTGGTACAATGAGAAATGTCACACTGAGTAAAGCCACAGGCCACCACAGGCCAATGTCACCTCTGACACTGGCCAGCAGCGAACAACCAGGGCAAAACAAAGACAAGTGAGTAATATACAGAATTACTGTTCCCTGCTGCCAGCAATCTGTAGCCTGGGGGTTTCTGAAGCTGAAGTCATAGGAAGTACAGAGCCCTGTGCTTAATATTTGACTGCATGTGTTCTCTACAAGCATCTCTTGCCCCCACACCTTCATGAAGTATGTTTGGCCTCTGTTTATGTTTATTTTTTAGGCCTCCAAAACATTCCGTGGACATGATGTAAGTATGACATGACAAAATAGGGTGGGGTTTCCTTTGCTTTAAACCACATGCCTGATAATTTTACAAGGTTGTCCTGATGCTTTAACTCCAAGGAACAGTGAGAAACCATTTTCAGATTATCTGCTCCTTCTCCCCTCATGACTTTCTAGACCACTTTCATTTCTCCTCTTACCTTGTTTTTGAGAGTGACAATCCAGATGAGTAGTTTTTCTTCTGTATAGAGGCTGTTATATATTCTTCTCAGCCTTCTCTGCATCTTTCCTATTTCTGCCTTGTGACCTGGGTGACCAGAACACTGCAAGTACACCACAGAGTTGTACAGTGACACATGGAATACAAAACCACATTTGCAGGACCCAATACTCTAACTCATTATAATGACAGAAAATTTTAAGAAAAAACAACCACCTTTACATTCACTTGCTAGGCACTGTGGTCTTTAACACATACTGTGTGTAATCCACTTTTTCACTGTTTTGCTTAGAAACAACACAATACATTCCACGTGCCAAATTGGTTTCCTTACTAGATATGGACTCCAATTGGACAAGACGTTTTATGCAAAGCTGTTCAGCAAAATGCCACTCAAAAGTAATAGTGAGGAGATGCTGGAATGATAAGAACTGATAAATTTACCATCAGCACCAGATGAAACTGAAACAGAAGACAGGGATACACAAAAGCCTCAACCTCTTACTTTGTGAAGTGAGTAGAAGGACCAAGGAATTCTTTTGACTCCATGAATTTGTAACAGCAACTAAAACTATTCACAGAAACTGTGCAAAATCTAGAGGTGATAGCCAAAAGTTAACTCCTTTTATTCCTCATTAATTCCATTTATCTCATGTTTAGTCTTCCCAAAGACACTTTCCTCTGACAAAGTCCTACCTTTCAAGTAAATAAGAATAAACATGGATAAAAAAAGATAAAAGACACCTACTTATTCACTAGGGACATATTATTACAGGAAAGCTGTGTGTCCTGGTGATAGACCTTCTGGCCTCAGGTTGTCACCACTTCCTAACTGAGCTATGACTAGTTAAGCAACATCATACCCATCCTCTCCTTCCTTTCAGTAATTTTCACCTGCTTGTTCTTATAATACATATAAAACCTCAAAATACGTTTGGATAGTAGCTGTGCATACCACAAACTGCCCAATACTCCTTTTTCATGGCTTTAATGTGGAAATGCTGTTACCAGCCCCCTTTCCTTTACTCTCCCCATCTGCAACTGCTTCATTTTTTGTTGCAACTGTGCTGGCAACACTAAGGTCCCTCAAGGGCTGTGCCCGGTTCTGGGCCCTCAACAGGAGAGACCCGGAGGGGCTGGAGCGTGTGCAGGGAAGGGAATGGAGCTGGGGAAGGGGCTGGAGCAGCAGGAGCAGCTGAGGGAGCTGGGGGGGCTCAGCCTGGAGAAAAGGAGGCTCAGGGGGGACCTTCTGGCTCTGCAAGTCCCTGACAGGAGGGGGGAGCCGGGGGGAGTCGGGCTCTGCTCCCAGGGAAAAAGGACAGGAGGAGAGGGAACGGCCTCCGGCTGTGCCAGGGGAGGCTCAGGTTGGCCAGGAGGAGGAATTTGTTGCTGGAAGGGGTGGTCAGGCCTTGGCAGGGGCTGCCCAGGGAGGTTTGGAGTCCCCATCCCTGGAGGTGCAAGGAATGACTGGACATGGCACTCAGTGCTCTGGGCTGGGACACAAGGTGGGGATGGGGCACAGGGGGGACTCGGTGACTTTGGAGGTCTTTTCCAACCTTAATGGTTCTGTGATTCTATATTTGTGAGATTCACATTTTTGTAAGAAGCTCTGCTGGAGGAAAAAAAATTTAAAAAGGCTACAAAAAAGATAAGCAGTCAACTTTGTTCTGATTTTGTCCTGAAGTAAAAGCTCAGACACAGGAAGTCTGCAGCCTCCAACTTAGTGTCACAGCACCTCCAAGACTTGCCTAATCTTGATCCCTGCTATGAAGCTGCCACAGTTACAAACTAGGTTCCAATCATTGATACATATGCAGAATTAGTAACTATCGAGTAGAGCTGTGCCATGAGAGGTGTGGGAACACCCAAAATTTCAATATTTGGTATAGTTTTGTTTTCAGGTACACAAAGCCTATGGAACCCAGCACAGAGGAGGCACAAGTCCCCCCTATATTCTGTCCTCGAAAGGCTCCCTGCAGCTCAGAAACCTCTCTGTGATCCTATCCATGATCCCAGTTTAAAAAAATCTACTTGAACCTCAACTATTCTTGCTAAAACAATGCAGTCCAACAGTAGCCGTTTTCTATGTCTCAAACCCCAGGAAGTCAGAGTCACTGTACCCCAAGGCTTTCCTCCTTTGGAAGAGTACAGAGAAACATTGAAAAGAGGCTCAGTGTTTCCAGCATTCAAGAAATAGGATGAAAACCAGAATATCTCATCTATCAGGCTCTGAACTTCAGCATCACTCAAGAATATATTTCACAAACATTGCTTCTTAATCGTATGTTCTTCTGCACTAAAAATGTCAACTCCAATTAGGGGATGAGCTACTTTTGGTTTCAGCTGAACTAATTCACCCATACTTAGTCTTACCTTAACTTGACTATTTATGTCCTTGTGCTTGAAACAGTTCCAGTGCCCAGTCTGTTCCACACCAAAAGAGGAGCCAGGTGATGTTTGACTTGTGATCACATCATGGAGCCTGAATAGTGAACAGACGTATTTCATACTTCTGGCAAGAGCTCACTGATGTTCATTTGGTCTTGAACTTCACATAAGCACTTACAAATCAGCCATACAAAGGCTGTGGTTGAACAGCAGATGATGTATTCCTCATTGCATGTCTGAGCTGGCAGTAAGTAAATGAATGTTATGATTTAATGATGTTGCAGTTTCATTCTAAACAAGTACAGCTCACTTTGCCCAGCATCTGGCTTCACAGAAAATTTTCAGATTTTTTTATGACATGGGCATAAGTTTAATGGAAATGAAGCCAAAACAGTGAGCTGCACATTAGTTAAGCTAAGAGTGATTAAGACAAGCTATAAGGGACAGGAAACATGGAGCCACAGAACAACTAAGCCATAATACATCTCCCAGTACCAATATAACTCAGGCATGATTTTAAGACAGACAGATACTCCTGAGGCAGCAGCAAATAAATCAGAGAGGGTACAAGTTCAAATGCTAACTCCGTATATATGATTCAAAGGCTGCATCCTGTCAAGCATTGACAGTACGCAGTATTTCTGCAATCATCTGGCCAAAGGGTTAACGTAATAAACAGTGACAAGCTCGCACAGACACTACGATGAGAAATATAGACTCAACTCTGGCTTCAGATGTGCCTGCAACTCATTAAGGCAGGCAGGACTCAAAGCATGTGCCTGCTGTCAGCATTTCGCTCACGGACGTTCCCTATCAGAAAGTCATTTGAATCCATTTCCTTCGTTACTGTATCCTTCATCGCCGGATACAGCAACTTCCTCAAGCACTCCAGGAAGCTGCTGTCTTCATTTATTTATGCAATTATATTTGGCTGCTTGCTTTAGTATGCAAAGGAGGTTGGTACCCTGAAACAACCAACAAATGGTTGTGTCTACTCCTCTTAAGGGTCTCAAGAGCCACCCAGCCGTACTCAGCATGCATTTAGACATTAATCCCTTACCTGATCAACACCTAGTGCCTGTGACAAGGGACTGATGAGCAGGTACATGTCACATCACACAACAGGGGGGCACCTACCATATGCCATACCCCAGACCTGTGTAGCCCCACTGCCTGCAGCCCCCACGTTAACCACAGGAGTTAAGAACCCAGCAATAAGGAATCTCAGCTACTAGAGGTACTGACCTGAGCCAGGAAAGTGCTGCACTTTTAAAACTGGAAAAGGAGAATGACTTCTTTGTCCCAGTTGTGACCCTGGGCCCCGAGTGACGAGCTCACGGAGGGGGTTTTACTTTAAAATTATACAAGGCTCCAACAACATCTGCCCTCCAGATTGTTAGAAGAGCCTTCAGTTCTTTTAACACCTTAAGAGAGAGTGCAAAGGAGAAAAGCTGCACAGGTTTTTTCCACAGATACTTTTAGAGGTAAACTTCAGAAAACAAAGAAACTTGACAAAAGTTTAAAGGGTAACATGCAAGCAAAATAAAGCATTCCACAAAGCATTGACTTAGCACACGCTAACCCTGTATGATTCAGCAAAATCCAGCCTATCTGGTCTCAAGCTATCCAAAATACTAAGAAAGGAGGTTAGGAGAAGAAGTAAAGAAAAGAGAGAGAAACAAGAGAAAATTATGGCTACCAACAGCATCCTGTGAGAGTCCAGATCCCCCGTGTCCAAGCAGCAGGGTTCCAACACACGGGGAGCACGTGGCTCTGCCTTGATTTGTTTTGGCTCCTGTGGTCACACCCCCGCCCCCAGAGAGGATTTACGTGTGCCAGACAGCCCAGGCTGGGTCAGGGGCTCCAGGGCCTGGTGTGGGCAGTGCCCCCTCTGGGCAGGGACTGACAGCGGCTCCGAGGCTGCCCCAGGGGGCTCACAGGGGCTGGGTGTGGGACAGGGCACCACTCCACCTCTGTGAGATCCAACCTGTCCCTTCCACCACACGCACTTGAGTTGGTTCGAGCCAATGATTAATTACAATAATCCAGTGTCTCACAAGTTGTTAATGCTGATGCAGAAATACAGCTGTTGAGAGATTTTATCTGCTCCACAGTTTTCCCAGAGATACTCCAGGAAGTTCCATAACTAAATACAGAGAATTCCCTTACAGCAGAAAAGGCTGGCAGAAGGTAAATGACCTTTCCACCTTCTGAGAAGTACTCATCACTGACAGGGCAGTACATGACTATTTTACTGTAGCGAGGGCTACTGTCCTGTCAGAACAAGTTTCTGAAGCTGCAGATGTTGACACAGAATTGAGGGAAGTAGTAATGTCCAACACAGCACTTTCTTGAAAGCGGAATAAACTTACCAAAGTGCAAGTCAACAAAGCATAATGCTGCTTAATGAAGCCAAGGCAGGAGAGGGATTACTAGTAAAGGAAAACAAAACTAAAAAAAGATACGTTTGACAACTAGTTGTTTGTGCCAGCAGGTAAGGTACCACCTTGCAGTTTCTAGTGTTCAAGGATCTCATTGGCTCGGTTAGATATTATACCATACTAAGCATAGAAATAACACAGAGCTCACTTAAAAATAAATAAAAAAAAACACACAGAAAAAACCTGTTAAAAATATCTAATCTTTCCTCCAAATATATATATGATGATAATTCTTCTCTTAATTAAGTTGCCTTTGTTTTCTACAGTGGCACGGTGATTGTCAGTGAGTAGAACAATTTTTTATATCCTGAAGTCCATATGCTTGATCAAATGCTGCACAGGTGCACTAATGTAAAGTGCTTCATGATAAGAGCCTATTCTTTTCTACTGTTAAAATCACTAGGCAGAAGGACTTCTAATCACCCAGAGGCTGAAATAGTGATGTAAGAAAAAAATTATAATCTGATCCTGAGAAAGACACCCAAGCTTTGGAATAGGTGTCTCAATACACAGAGAGAGAAAAGAACACTTCATAGTAAACTCAACTTCCCAAGAACTGCTAAGAGAAAGATATGCAGCAGGAAACTTTGGGATGAAGCTAAGTAATAAATGTAAAAAACATGAAGCTAGAACTGCAGGACAAAATATAGAACACCTGCAAACAGTAGAAAGGAATCATGCGCCTAAAGAAGTGAACATTAATTATAGATTCTTTACAGATTTTCTTCTTTCTGTGGAAAAACAGCACTGCAAAAGGTCATACAAGCCAAGAAAGCCCTCCCTGTCGAAACAAGTTTGAATTTTAATAAATCAGACTTTTATCTTGTTTCCAAAAGAGACAATTGTAATCATTTAGGACATGTAATCATGTCTTGTCTTAAAAAAGTTAATTTCACCACTCATTTGTGTATCAGAACTACAACTAGTTGAAAAAGCCTCTCCCTCTCTAGAGAGAAATCCATGCTTGATTGAAAGACTCCAAGTGATGGAGAATCAGCCACGTTCCCCAGGGAAGCTGCAACTGTCGGTTCAACAAGGCCCAGTGCCGGGTCCTGCCCTTGGGTCACACCAACCCCTGCAGCTCCAGGCTGGGGCAGAGGGGCTGGAAAGCTGGGAAAGGCCCTGGGGGTGCTGGTGACAGCGGCTGGACACGAGTCCGGGTGTGCCCAGGGGGGCAAGAAGGCCGAGGGCCCCTGGGCTGTGCCAGCCATGGTGTGTCACAGCCCCAGGGCAGTGCCCTCCCTGTGCTGGCACCGCTGAGGGACCTCGAGGGCTGTGCCCAGTGCTGGGCCCTCAACAGGAGAGACCCGGAGGGGCTGGAGCGTGTGCAGGGAAGGGAACGGAGCTGGGAAGGGGCTGGAGCAGCAGGAGCAGCTGAGGGAGCTGGGGGGGCTCAGCCTGGAGAAAAGGAGGCTCAGGGGGGACCTTCTGGCTCTGCAAGTCCCTGACAGGAGGGGGGAGCCGGGGGGGGTCGGGCTCTGCTCCCAGGGAACAAGGGACAGGAGGAGAGGGAACAGCCTCCAGCTGTGCCAGGGGAGGCTCAGGTTGGCCAGGAGGAGGAATTTCTTGCTGGAAAGGGTGGTGAGGCCTTGGCAGGGGCTGCCCAGGGAGGTGGTGGAGTCCCCATCCCTGGAGGTGTGCAAGGAATGACTGGACATGGCACTCAGTGCTCTGGGCTGGGTGAGAAGGTGGGGATCAGTCAAAGGTTGTATTCGATGACCTTGGAGGTCTTGTCCAACCTTAATGATTCTGTGATTCTGTTAGTACACTCAATGATAAAAAGATGTGTCCAGTTGTCTGGATTTGGCTACCAGAGTTCCAGATCACATTATGGCATTATCTAACAAGCCTTTGTTATCAGAAGCCTTTCCCATATACAGGGAAGGTACGTGAGGCAGTGATTGTATTACTTCAATATTCACTTTGAGTGAACTCCATAGCTTGAGTTTCCCAAGTGTTTACTCATTCTGGCAGGCCTTTTCAAAGTATGTATTTGAAAACAAAGTAACGTATTTCACCAACAGCATCATAAACAGTTGCTCAAAAATCATACCACCTTGCTGTTTCTACAGGTTGTTTCCTGTGCTCAAAGGTCTCATCTGCTCAGTCAGGTACTACAACATGTTGTTGATGTTCAGTTAAAAACCCCATGACCCCTGTCACTACCACGCCAACAAGCTCAGTGATCTAAAGGTATCAAATGAGTGAAAACCAAAGAAAATTAGACGCCTCATTTGTAGAACAGACTCGAAGAGCCAGACTGCAAAACAACCTTGCAAGCAGGACCTGAACTCCCTGACCAGGAGACAGAAGCCACCTACGCCACGTCAGGCCCTGCCCCACAGCAGCACCCCTGGCCTGGCACAAGGGCCTCCAAGCACTCGGATCCAGAGCCCAGGAGTCTCTTTGAAAAGCTTCTTTTCCAAAATACTATGCTGTGATCAGGGCTCTTACCTGGAGAAGTCTGTAGAAAGGACAGAGCATTGGATTCCAGCAACTATTTCCAGGTTGACTGCTGAGTTTTCCAGGTAGATGTACCAGGAGTGCTATCTGGAAGACTCTCTTATCCTTGCTTTCCAGGTGGAAGCCCTGCCTAGAACCTCCTCCTCTGTTACCAACCATGTGCTCCCTGGGACAGGACCTTGGCTCTGGAAGTCCAACCTGAGTGCCCTTGCCCCACAAGAAGCTGGTATTACCTGTAACTTCCAAGCAAGCAGGACACGTGGCTTTCAATTTCCTTAGACTGAGGAAGGGAAGAATAAAATGTATGTTTTTAAGGAAATATTTATAGAGATATATGTAAAATTGCTCTTGGTAACACCTATTCAGTTCCATTCATCTAACAGTTTTCATCACTAAAAAATAAACAGATTTGTTTGCCCAGAGACTTGTGGAATTTTGCAACAACTAGAAAGATGAGGTGTAACACAAGAACATAAAAACGTGATAAAATGGCAGACAAAAAAAATCATGCTTAATTAGGAACTGTCACATAGGTAGAAGCTGATCAAAGAGTTTCCTAAAGAGTCCTTGAATTTCTCCTGCTAAGTGTTTTCATTAATTACCATGGTCTAAAAGGAGGGCTAATTAAATCTGCTATGACACAAACTCAGAGGTCATCCTTAGTATTCTAAGGAATACTTTGGAGGTACTGGAAATCTTTGCTGTTACAAGGAAATGGGATGAAAGGCAGTAAAAAATGAAAAAGTGAGAGTTCTTCAGTTGCAAACACTAAATGAGAATGAGATTTAAAAAAAATACCTCTATGGTTAATATTTCTTTCTTCCCAATTGTTCCCACTTAATGAAAATTCACTGTTCAATATTCTCACAGATAGTTGTACATCAAAAAAAAAAAAAAAGTAAATACTGAAACTGGGAACTGAATCTTCTCAGAGCTCTGCATAACACCTGTTTTAAGTATAATGCATATTTTAAAAAGTAACAAAATTGCAAGGGCATGTTCTTTCAGAAATATTATAAAATTATATCTTTAACCACTATTCATCTAGCCCTTGAATAATTTAATTTCCTCCCAAAGATAACAGTTATTTTGGTCTGTTTGACAGCATTACCTATGTACAAAGAGCATACCACGATGAACCCAATCTCACTGGTGCTTCAGCTGCATTCCTAATAATCTACTTTTTGATATTCTTTTATTTTTAACTCTCTGGTCACATAGGCACCGCAATATTCTTCATGCAGAAAATAAAACTGTACAGATATACTTGGAAAATAATGCAAGCCTCTACAAGTAATCTAAGTGCTCAACATGGCTTGTTTTTTAATAAACTGACAGCAATGATCTCTTCCAGCATTCTTGATATTTTAATCACCCAAGTGGTAGTAACTGACAAGAGTAGGATTTACAGCTCTCAAACATAGGCCATGACACCACATCTGCTTTTTGTTCCAAAGAGATCCTTTCACATGAAACTGCAGAATTACCACCTTGATCTATCAATGCAAATACACTAATACCATTCAACAGGCTTATCTCATAGGATCCAAACTTGAAAACACTAGTCAGGTTCCTGGGAACCAATTTTAGGCAGCAGTTACAAACCCTTCAGAATGCCTGAGGACTGGATTTATTGCTTGCTTTTATAGTAAAAGTGTGTTGAACATTAGATTGGCTCAGTTGGTTAGAGCAGGGTGCTAATAACACCAAGGTTGTGGGTTCAATCCCCAAATTGGCCATTCCCTTAACAGTTGGACTCCATGATCCTTGTGGGTCCCTTCCAAGTGAAAATATTCTGCGAAATCTGTGATACTCAAATGATACATATGGCTAATGAGAACAAACTCAGCTTTGCTGAGGCACACAAACTTCACCAAAGGAGTATATTTTGTGGAAATTATACCTTAATTCTTCCATTACCCTTCCTCTACGAAGCCCAACAAATATTGGTATTTATACTGAAATAACAATTGGGGTAACCACTGTAAAAAAACAAAACCAGGTTAAAAGTGCTTATAAACAGGTATATGTCTATTGCTCTTCTTATTTCAGAGGTTCAACACTGGAATTGTTCCAAGCCTTTTGTTCTAAAAATTACTTAAAAAGTATTGTGTTGTTCTGTGACTAATCCAGTGGAACTGCAAATACACTCAGCTGATGAAAAACACACTGTAATTCTGAAGGACTGATTTCTTTTTTGTATTGTTCAATACAGTTTTTGTCACAGAAATATATCAGAAGTACTGTTGCTCTCAGTGGGTTATGGATATGAACTAAGTTTTAGTAATTAGGAAAAAGTACTTTTTTTTTTATTCTCTTAAAGGTAATTTGAAAGGTCTCTGTTTTTTTTTCTGGTTAAAAATGGCAATAATAAACTCAAATTATTCAAAGGTTCAATGGAATTGAAGAGTAAGAGGACAGTAGAGTTAACCCAGTTCAGCAGTTGTCTTGTTTACCTCCTCAGTTTCTTCTGTTTTCTTAAATAATTTTAATAACTGGCCTTTTTAACCTGATTTCCTACAGATCACATCCTGACTGTGAATGCAAACTCTAAAGAGTATTTGTTTTACATAGTAACATCTAATTCCTTTTTTATATATTTTTTTACTTACGCAGTAAAAACTTCCAAATTCTCAGATTTTAGGAAATTAATTCATTTTAGGGACAATAAGGCTCCTTCCCCCAGTCTCACTGCAAAGACTGTAACATCACAGTACAACTTGCACTTTGATAACTGTAGCTCAGGATGAGCAGCCTGAACCCTCTGGCACACTATCTGGCAGCACATGGAAAACATGTTATTGAAATCACTCAACTGTATATGAAATAATTAGAAGCTAAATATTGTTTGCAGAAATCACTGGGGAAATGCTTTATGGAATGGAAAAAGTCAATAAAATGGAAATGTTCATGGAAAATTTTTGACCAGAAAATAAAAACAAACAGGTCAAAGAAATTACCAGCAAAGGACTATTTACTAGTTTGATTCATCACAAAAGGAAAAGAACAGCAATTACATCATTTGCTCCAGGAGATGAAGTACACACATGACCTGGAATGTTCTCTTTAATAGATTATATCTATTACAATGTGTTAGAATAAAAAAAGATAACTGTCAATCAACATTTCTGCAAACATTTAAAGGTTCAACCCTAATAAAAGGACATAATTAGATTACACTGATAAATGCAAATCTCTTTAAAATATTTTTAAGCAAACACATGTGACTAGATGCTTTCCAATGAGACTTGACAAGAGGAAAGCAGAAAGAAAACATGAAAGACTTCAGTTCTCCTATGCACTCTGAAAGCTGTCAGAAGTTCATGTTTCAGCTTTGGCAACCTCAGAAAATATTTTTAATTGCCAACCACCTGAACAAGGATTACCACAAAGGTGAGCAAGGAAAGAGACAAGCACCTGCTAAAACAGCAATGGGAATTTTTCACATAGACCAAGCCCCATAAAATGTGAGGAAAGAAAGACAAAGCTAAGAAATTGGTAAATAATACCCAAAAACCCAAACAAAATATGAGACAATGAGTTTTAACACAACTCAGCCTGAACGACCATTTCTTCCCCGGAAATTACACCTACCAGGCCACTTAGCCTTGAGCTTTAGCAAAACAGCAGATAAAGCAAGAAAACACAGCTGCAAACATTGTGGGCCATCAGAGGGGCTCCTGGAGTGCCTCTACTAACTCAGGGTACTGCAGGAGGGCTCCAGCTGTGCTCACCAAGGGTTCAGGGTGTTTTGACTTTAGGCATGCAATTTAAGAGCCAGAATGAAGAGCACAAGCTAAGGGAAAGAGACTACAGACTAGGTTTACAGGATAACTAGTCAGAGGTTAAACTGGGTTTAAGCCCCTGAAGTTACAGCAAATGCATCCTGGGGCTTTCACCAGGAACAAACCACTCTATTTAGAAATCCCCCGCCCCAGTTGTTGGGTTTTTTCCCAGTGGATGTGATAAATTCTTATTTGGGATTTCAAGTCCAGGGCTCCCTCTGATAGCTTTGAAAATACTGGATTTTTTTGCCAAAACTTAACCCATGCTGGCATTTCCATATTTACACTTCAGAGAAAAATCATCTCCTGAGGTCTCAGCCAGCAGATTGTGCTTTTGCCTGAATCCCAGTAGATCCAAGCCACTGCTGGATGTTTGCTCTCCCTCAGTGGATAAAGACCAAGAGGAAGAAAAAGTGAGGAGGAAGTCGGTCCTATTACCTCCTTGCAAGGAATTCACTGCCAGCAGCTAATGCCTGTGTCTGCAGCTCACACTTTGCCTTGGGGTCCTGCTGCTTTTAGCAAAGTAGGGCTTTCCTGTGTCTTGCCCCACTCCTCAAGCACAGTCTCCTCCCCTTGAGCTGCAGACACAGGACCTGTGCTCCTGCAGGTAGGAGGTACCTGCCCCATTCTGCACAGGTCCGTTTGAGCACCAGTTCCAATTAGGTTAATTTTCAACCTATTCTAGAACTGAGCATCTTCTGCTTGACCATTTCCCAGCCCCCAGCTTTTGCTGCTCACATTTTGCCTTTCTAAACCCCTCCCAATGCCTCACCCCACAGTGAACTGCAGAGACTCATTAGAAAGGAAAGGTGAGTGCTCTCAATCCTGCCACGAGCCGACTTCAGTTATCCTGTGCCTACTTTTTCTCTTCCCTGCCTTGGTTAGAAAATAAACATCTGCTCATTTTGATCCATCAGTTGGAAAATTAAGCAATTAATGCAGACAACATCTGTGGACAATGATTTATCAAACACGGGTTCAGTAACCAAAGTGTAAATTGAAGCCAACTACAAGAGCTGGAGGCTTAATATATCTTCAGGAAAAAAGAAGGAAATAAAAAGAGAGACAGAATGACTCTTCACAGAACCTAAACCTTCTGGCAATTAGAAATGGCAAGATATTTAGAGGTGTGATGAAGAACAAAGAAGAAACCACTATAGCACTATAGAAACCACTAGCCTAGAAAGGCTAGTTTTATTTTAATCACTGTGGAATGATGCACTGGTTTAAGAAATACACTGTTACAGCCATGGTCTAGTGATCTGACTTTGTGTATGCTACTGAATTTAAGCCATGTGATACAAATCCTGCAGGTAGTCAAAATTTAAAAGTGGTTTTGAGGAAAAAATACAACATTACTGGAGGACAACGATACCTCTTATAATCAAGGGTAATTCTGAACGTGATTTTGTGTTATCTTGATTAAACAACCATCTTGTGGACTTTTGACAAGTTTCATCAAGAATAAATTATATTTTCTCTCCTGCAAAATTAAGAGAGCACTAGAGGGAATCATCAGTCCTCACTAATCTTATCAAAGATTATATCAATATTTGATATTTTTATATCAGTAAGCCTCTCATGCAAAATACTGCAGATCTTTTACACTTATCTGCTCTTAAGAAACAACAAGAGCAGCTAAAAATGCCAACAGTAAATACTTTTGGTATTAAATAACCTGTGTTTTTTTGATGGTAAATATGAAAAGGTTTATTGGGTGACAGTGAAAGACACCTTCACCTGCACCACCACATTTCAATGCTCCTGTGATGTTCCTCACCACAGAAAGCTGGGAACTTAGGCACTCCTGCCCAATAATCGTGTTCCTATTGTTATGATCCAGTTATTAAAATTATTTGAAATGCCTCTACCTGAATTAAGGTACAAACGAGACCAGATGCCAAAGTCAAGAGTATGGGTTTTGTTTAATGGTAAATGTGAGACAGAGAGAGAAAGAAAGAAACAGGAAAAAGGAGGCGGGGGGGAGAGGGGGTAGAAGAAAGAGAGTGACAGAGAGAGATTAAAATAGAAAAAGTATCACTGCTCCGTGTAACCTGGCTGCATCCCTTCGGTCAGGTTCTTCTGGTCTCCTTGGTGGTGAGGGTTTCCTAAAAAACACAGAATCCAATGGATTAATATGCATTCAGGAGATGCCCGGGCACCTCCCATGGAGCAGAGGGGGGAAGCTTTCCAGTCTCTTGTAACAGACTCTGGATTTGTTGGATCAGTTGGATCACATGCAGTGCTCTGGTAGTGGAAGACCTCAGGAATGAGTCTGGGGGCGCTTTGGGGGTCTTTGGTGGTTTATGACCCTTCTCAGCTGCCTCTCACACAAATGTCCTGTGTGTACGTGGTGTTCTCGGGGGCCAGGGTGTTACTCCTTCAATTTGGTGTGGAAGATTTCACCATCACAAACCCAAAACCTTTCTCCTCCACCACCCCCTGAGCCCAGCTGGGGCTGATTCTTAACACAGATACATTCTTCTTTCCTGAGCCTTGTTTACTTCTCCTCAGACGTGAGATGATTAGACAATAGTCTTATCTCAAGTCCCCAGTCACAGTCCAAATTCCAGTCAGGCTTCGGTGGTCCCAGACAGGCAGTGGCTTCCTTGTAGTTTGACAAAAAGTCTTTCTGTGATTTTGACAATGTTTAAGACATTACCAACGTTTCAGTCCATCACAACTAGGGAGGATGCTATCAACAGAAAAATAACAAAGAGGATTACAACTTTGTCTTCATCTACAGAAAAAAAATAGTACTGAATAATTTGGCTGTTTAATTCACTCTACAGAAGTTCCTGGCTTTTGGGTTTGTTGAAGATTTTGGTTATTACTTCCAGTGTTCTGCGTGGTAGTCACATAATTTTTAGAACACTTTTGTGACATTAATAATGAGTTTGAGAGCTTCAAACCAACCAATTTTGACACTAATTCCTACACATGCCTATTTAACCATAATTTTTTCCAATTTCAATCAAGCACTTCATTCAAATTAATCTTTGTAACCCCTTACTTGGGACTCTGTGAGCAATTAGAGGCACTGGAAATGCAAGCCACAAGTATACCCATCACCTTCTTGTTCTTTGCAGACACATAAATTAACCCTTCTCCTCATAATGTGCATATTGTTGCACATTCTGTCCCAGTATTTTCTTCTAAATTAAGACTGAACTGAATAGCTTATCACAAGACCTTCATTTTGCACAGAGGGACCTCCAAGTAAAACACTAACCAGACAAGAAAAAAGTAGAACTCTGCCTTTAAATTGAGATCCAAAAGTTTTCTACCCATTTGAATAGAGCAGGAAGATTCCTACTCCATAACAGACACATCAGGTACCATTACACAGGGCAATTTAAGGGGCAAAGGTTTTTGTGAGGCATTGAGTAAAATATAGGTTTGGTCATGCCCAAACTATAAACTCACTGAGCTCACACACAGTGAATAATTTTACCTGGGAGAGGACAAATAATCAGAACTAGGTTCAAAAAATAGCAGTGTCACTTCAGGGTGTTCCTTTTATCCATTGCACGGGGGTTGGTCGCTTCTGCCATGTCTCAAGTGAGAGGATGAGAGGAAATGGCCTTAAATTGTAGCAGGGGAGGTTCAGACTAGGTATTAAAAAAAAATAATTCCCTGAATAAATGGTCAGGCATTGGAATAAGCTGCCCAGGAAGGTGGTAGAGTCACTGTCTCTGGAAGTGATCAAGAGACATCTGGATGTGGCACCTGGGACATGGGTTAGGGGTGATTATGGAAGTGGTGGCATGACCTTGAAGGTCTCTTCCAACCATGATGACTCTGATTCTGTGTGACCCAGGTTGTAGGACGAGCTCAAGAGCAGATTTGGAAGTGCACACTGTAGAGCCAGGGCAGACCATTGTGGAGCCCGTGCAGGGCTGAGGGGGAGGCACAGCATCCCAGGAAGGCAGGGAGAGCTTGGCCCTGGGCTCCAAGCCAACACAGGTATCACCAGTTACCTCACAAGCAACAGCTCATCTTTCTGAAAGGCAGCAGCTCCGAGCTTGTGATAGGTTCCTACCAGCACACTTCACCTCTCATTTGGGTTAATTAATATCCACCACCTGCCTCTGGAAAGCTGCCAGCCTCAGCACAGTGCAGTTAACTTCCCTTCAGGCTTCTCTATGTAGCAGATGAGCTGCCAAAGCAGGTGTTTGCACAGCTTTATAGTGAACTGCAGGTAAATCCCCCAACTGCAGAGAAAATCCTACAGTGTTTGATTTGGCCTTTAGATGGAAATCAGAGTGTAACAACAGCTGCAGAAACTTCTATGAAGTAACTCCTACATGATGCAATTGGTAAACAGAATCCAAACAAAAATACATCGTACAATGCGACATGTTTGTTGTAACAGGGAAGCCTGGACAGAGTCTTCTGGCAAAGAAATGAGAATTCTTGCCTTAGAAGGGAATTTTTGATAAATTTATGCTGAGCAAAGATAATACACAATGAAACACCTCTCCTCGGGGAAGAGTCTTAGGCTTTTATCCTATTTTGTACATCCTTACAAAATCATAGAATCAAAGAATGGTTGAGTTGGAAGGGACCTTCAAGATCGCTCCATTCCACCCCCTGCCATGGGCAGGGACACCTTTCACTAGTCTAGGTTGCTCCAAGACCCATCCAACCTGGCCTTGGACACTTCCAGGGATCCAGGGGCAGCCACAGCTTCTCTGGGCAACCTGTGCCAGGGCCTCCCCACCCTCATAGCCAAGAATTTCTCCCCAGTATCCCATCTAACCCTACCCTCTGGCAGTGGGAAGCCATTCCCCCTTGTCCTGGCACTCCAGGTCCTTGCAAATAGTCTCTTTTCATCTCTCTTGCAGGCTCCCTTCATGTACTGGAGGGCCACAATTCAGTCACCCCAAAGTTTCTCCTCTCCAGGCTGAACAATCCCAACTCTTCCAGCCTTCCCTCCCAGCAGAGCTGCTCCAGCCCTCTGATCATCTTGGAGCCTCCTCTGGACTGGCTCCAGCAGCTCCATGTCCTTGCTGGGCTGTTCCCAGGGCTGGAGCAGCTCTGCAGGGGGGTCTCACCTGAGGGTCCTGCTTCTTGCCCTTCTTGAAAATCAGGACAACATTCACCAGCCTCCAGCCAACCGGGACCTCTCCTCCATTGAGACAGCATCACTGAATCCAAGAAAAAGCAACTGTGTAGAGCCAGGATAACTGCAGAGTTCCTCCAGAACCAATCCCTGATGCAAAGCACCATCTCCTATCAACCACTGACTTACAAGAAATATTCCATTTTTCCCAGTCCAGAAGAACTCCAGAGATATAACTAGGACCTGCTCCAGCATCCCTTCCTCTCTATGTCCCAAACAGTCCCAGGCTGATACCTGGGGACATATGTCCCAGTGTTTGTGAGCTTTAGGAAATCATGCTGATGTGAGAATGAATGAGAATGAGGCAAATAAATTCTGTAAAATAAAATCACTTTCCCTGAAGTTCACACATTTAGTTTTGTCATGAAAACTTTCTAAAAGCATCGCTGGGTTTTATGTATCAAAGAGCAAGCAACTACAATTTTTTAACTACCTTTAAGGCTTGCAAGAAACTGATAAACATTTACTTTTACTGTAAAAAATTAAGTTTTCTGAGTCAACTGTGTATTATATATTTGTCTTAATTGGGCTGATTTTAGCCTCCTTTAATTTTGTCTAATTTTTTAACTTGGACTTTTATTTGTTGCAGAGTTTCTCATAAAAATCTGCAAACGAAGTACAAACTGTGGTTAACGAGCTATGCATAAACCTTCTCTTTTCCTTTATCATTCTTACCATCTGCTTTGGCTGTTTTATTATCAGCCTGTAAGCTAATAATCTATCTACTTTATTTCCTATCTTACTTGGAAAAAAAAAGATGAAGAAATCCACAAGAGCTTTCAAATTCCCTGTTTTCTCTGAGTTTCCTCTGAGTGGTGCCTTATGGTCCAATCTGTTTCATGATCCCATTTTCTCCATTGCAAAATCAAGACTTCCAATTCCATTAAAAAACCCCTTTGGATATCCAATACCCTTCTTTCCCCCAGGAAAATGTCAGGGCACAAATTGCAAGATTAAATCAATCTATTTTACCCTACTCCTCCATTGCTACTAAGCAAAAATAATTCTTTCTCTCCCCATCATTCCTATTCCGATCTTTACTGACTATGGATTTGATGTAAATACAACTACGGATTTGCAGACAAAAAATGGAGTATTTATGTCTTATCTATCCATGTAGAAGTATTTAACAGTAGTGTTTTCTCTGTGCACTGCAGTCTAATATGTGCTTTGATAAAGCTGTTCCTTCTCTTCCAGTTAGGGCCAGCAAGTTTCTGGGCATCTGTATTTTGGTATATTCCATCAAACACGTATTATTGGCACATTAATCTAATTAAATTCCCTCATTTTGTCTAAAATACCATTAAAAAACATAAGCATTCTTTTCTGAGCTAGGCCAGTACTGCATATGACCAATAGGACAAGAGTGAGAAACAGGACCAAGTTCTTCAAAACTCACTGAAAAACCCCTTAAATTCAGTGTTTTATGGAATACAAACATTGCTAAGCAGTTTAAGGAAAAGTTTCATCATGGTCTCTCCTTTCTAATTAAGCCACTATTTTCAGAACTATCAGTTGGATAGCATTTGTTTTTTATAATGGAATGACTGACTTGAGGAGAAGTTGGAAAAGCCAGGAGCAAGAAATAGGCTTTATTTAATGAGGATGAATTTGTGAGACATGATCACAAAGTCAGTAACAGTTAACCACTGAGCCGAGAAACTTCTTTTGGATCCTCTGCAGATTTCCTTGCAGAGCTGCTGTTCTTGTGCCTAAGCTCTGCAGAGACTTTAATCCATTTTGCACCTGAAACAGGGCATGTGAGTGAAATTGTTATAGTTTCAAATGCAAGCTCAGGGGAACTTAATGCTGAAAACTGATCCTGAACTGAGCAAAAAAAGAAAAACGAAGCTTGCACAGACATTCTGAGGTGCATGTCTGTCTCGAGCACACTGTGTACAAAAGGCACCTGGTAGGTTCTGTTATGAGCCCATGTATTTATTAGCCCTAACCAGGTTTGTTTTCTTACTTTCTTGTGCTCTCACATACATTATAGCACTTCAACAAGTAACCAGTACACCAACAAGGCTGGCTGTTTCCCACGTTTTCTGATTTACTATTTGTTTTACGAACCAAAACAAACCTATCTGAACAATTCGTATTTATTTTTTTAGTTTACTCTGAGTAAATTTATGTGATAAAAAGAACTTCATCTTCCCAGGTATAGAAAATACAGAGAGAAGAGTGTGTATACCTGCTCCGAGCCACTCAGAAGTCCACAGAAAGACTATGGGCAACATTCATCTCTCCTAACTGGAATGATTTAAAAGTTGTCTGGGCTAAGGTACCTGCAGAGACCTCCACAATCAAACACAATTCTGTCTTCAAGCATGATTCATCACTCTCTGCATGTACCAATCTCTCCCTGTCGACTATAACGAGGACCCAGATGGGTAGTTTAGGTCAGGGAGCCAACTTTTAAGACTGCTGTGGTTAAGTGATATCCATTGCTGTTGACTGAAACAGAGTGGATCCTGACAGAAACCAGGTAGAACTCTGTGGCCAAGAAGGGCTATGATTTCTGAATCTCCAGTGCTGTCCCTCAGCCAGGAAAGACTGTCATTCTTTGT